CGTCGTACAAGACGTAGACGCATGCGTAGTAGTAGCAGTAGTTGTAGCAGTAGTCGTAGTAGTCGTCGTATCAGTAAACCGTAGTAGTAGTCGTAGTAGTAGTAGTTGTTCGAATAGCCGTAGTAGGAGTAGAATTCGTAGAAATGATAGTGGCAATCGTAGTAGTAGTAGTAGTAGTAGTAGTAGTAGTAGTAGTAGTAGTAGTAGTAGTAGCCGTAGTAGTAGTAGTAGTAGTAGTAGTAGTAGTAGTAGTAGTGGTAGTAGTAGTAGTAGTAGTTGTTGTTGTTGTTGTAGTAGTAATAGTAGTAATCGTAGTAGTAGTAGATACAGTCGTAGCAGCAGTCGTAGCCGCAGAAGTCTTAGTGGCGGTCGTAGTAGTAGTGGTAAGAGTAGTCGTAGTAGTAGTAGTAGTCGTAGTAGTAGTAGCAGTAGTAGTAGTAGTGGTAGTAGTAGTAGTAGTAGTAGTAGTAGTAGTCGTCGTTTGGGTAGTAATCGTAGTGGCAGTCGTAGAAGTGGTCGTTGTAGTAGTAGCAGTATTCGCAGTCGTGGTCATAGTTTTAGTAGTTGCAGTAGCAGTGATCGTAGTAGTAGTAGTAGGAGTCGTGGCCGTAGTCGTAGTCGTCTTAGTAGTTGTGGTAGTAGTAGTAGTAGTCGTCGTCGGCGTCGTCGTCGTCGTAGTCGTGGTCACTGTAGTACTCGTCGTAATAGTAGTAGTAGTAGTAGTAGTAGTAGTAGTAGTAGTAGTAGTCGTAGTCGTAGTAGTCGTAGTAGTCGTAGTAGCAGTCGTAAGAGTAGTAGTAGTTGTAGTAGTACTAGTAGTAGCAGTAGTCGTAGTAGTAGTAGTAATATTAGTAGTACTAGTAGTATTAGTAGTATCAGTAGTAGTAGTAGTAGCAGTAGTCGCATTAGCAGTAGAAGTATTAGTAGTAGTAGTAGTAGTAGTAGTAGTAGTAGTAGTAGTAGGAGTAGTATTCATTTCTAATATAAGTAGTAGTATAATTTGTAGCGGTAGTAGTACTCGGCGGATTCGAAGTCGTAGTCGCAGTAGACGTAGTCGTAATAGTAGTAGTAGTAGTAGTAGTAGTAGTAGTCGTTGTCGTTCTCGTTCCGGTGTCGTATTTGTAGTTACTCTTGCAGCAGTAGTAATAGTCTTCGTAGCAGCGGTGGTGATAGTAGTAGTAGTAGTAGTAGTAGTAGTAGTAGTAGCAGTAGTCGTAGTAGTAGTAGTAGTAGTAGTAGTAGTAGTAGTAGTAGTAGTAGTAGTAGTAGTAGTAGTAGTAGTAGTGGTAGTAGTAGTAGTAGTATTCGTAGTAGGCGTAGTAGTTTGTAGCAGTAGCAATAGTAGCAGAATTGGTAGTAGTAGCAGTAGTACTAAAAGAAGTAGTAGTAGTAGTAGTAGTAGTAGTAGTAGTAGTAGTAGTGGTACTGAGTAGTAGTTAGTGGTAGAAGTAGTAGTGTTAGTAGTAGTCGTAGTAGTAGTAGTAGTAGTAGTAGTTAGTGTTAGTTAGTAGCCAGTTAGTAGCAGTAGTAGTATAGTAGTAGTCGTAGTAGTTGTTGTGTTGTTGTTGTTTGTTGTGTAAATTTAGTTTTGTTAAAGTAGTAAGGGTATTGGCAGCAGTGGTAGTGGTATGGTAAGTCTAATTTGCGTAGTGGTAGTACTATTCTTCCTCTTTCCTCTACAGTAGTAAGTTAGTATTAATTATTAGTATTATTATAGTGAGTAGTGATCAGTTAGTAGTCGTCGTAGTAGTAGTAGTAGTAGTTAGTAGTAGTAGTAGTAGTCGTAGTAGTAGTAGTAGTAGTAGTTAGTAGTCGTCGTAGTAGTAGTGGTAGTAGTAGTAGTAGTAGTAGTAGTAGTAGTAGTCGTAGTAGTAGTAGTAGTAGTAGTAGTAGTAGTAGTAGTAGTAGTCGTAGTAGTAGTAGTAGTAGTAGTAGTAGTAGTAGTAGTGGTAGTAGTGGTGGTAGTAGTAGTAGTAGTAGTAGTAGTAGTAGTAGTAGTCGTAGTAGTAGTAGTAGTAGTAGTAGTAGTAGTAGTAGTAGTAGTAGTAGTAGTAGTAGTAGTAGTAGTAGAGTAGTAATAGTAGTAGTAGTAGTAGTAGTAGTAGTAGTAGTAGTAGTAGTAGTAGTAGTAGTAGTAGTAGTAGTCGTAGTCTAGTAGTATTTATTATTAGTAGTAGTAGTAGTAGTAGTAGTAGTAGTAGTAGTAGTAGTAGTAGTAGTAGTAGTAGTAGTAGTAGTAGTAGTAGTAGTAGTAGTAGTAGTAGTAGTAGTAGTAGTAGTAGTAGTAGTAGTAGTAGTAGTAGTAGTAGTAGTAGTAGTAGTAGTAGTAGTAGTAGTAGTAGTAGTAGTAGTAGTAGTAGTAGTAGTAGTAGTAGTAGTAGTAGTAGTAGTAGTAGTAGTAGTAGTAGTAGTAGTAGTAGTAAGTAGTAGTAGTAGTAGTAGTAGTAGTAGTAGTAGTAGTAGTAGTAGTAGTAGTAGTAGTAGTAGTAGTAGTAGTAGTAGTAGTAGTAATTGTAGCAGTAATTGTAGTAGTTTTAATAGTAGCAGGGGTAGGAGTAGGAGTAGTAATAGTAGTAGTAGTCGTCGTCGTCGTCGTCGTCGTCGTCGTCGTCGTCGTCGTCGTAGTAGTAGTAGTAGTAGTAGTAGTAGTAGTAGATGATGTAGTAGTTGCCGTCGTAGTAGTAGTGGTATTCGATGGAGTAGTAGAGGCAGCAGCAAGGACCCAACCATATGCAGTTGTGAGTACCGTCGTTGCGAGTATCGCTTTTGGGGGATCTCTTCATGGGGCCATGATACATGCGAGGAATGCGCCAATATGGGGCGGGGCAGCCATGTGGGCGCTGCCACTGGGGCTTTAGGCGGAATCCACGATGGGGCTGCGAAGCGTCTGAGGGGTGCACCGCAATGGGGCGGTGCCGCGATTGGGGCCTTCGGTGGAGCTCCCCATGGGGCCACGAAGCGTTGTACTGCGCGGGGAACGCATGCGAGCACCGCTACTGGGACCCTGGGTGGAGCTCTCTATCTCCTTATTGGGCCACGAAGCGTTGTGCTGGGTATGGGGAGACTCATGTGAACGCCGCCTTTCGGGTTTCGGTGACGCCACCAAGCGCTGTTCTGTGTGGGGGGGAGCGCAAGCGAACACCGCCGCAGGGGTCTCCGGTGGCGCTCGCTGTCGGGGCCACGAAGCGTTGTATTGGACGGGGGTAACGCATGCGAACACCGCCATTCGGGCCTTCGGTGGAGCTCCCTGCGGGATCACGAAACGTTGTACTGGCTGGGGGATGCGTATGCGGACACTGCCATTGTGGCCTTCGGTGGCGCTGTCTATGGGGCCACGAAACGCTGTGTTGGGTGGGGGTCCCGCATGCGAAAGCCGCCATTGGAGCCTTCGGTGGCGCTCCCACTGGGGCCACGAAGCGCTGTACTGAGTGGGGGATGCGCACGATGACGGCGCCATTGGAACCTTCGGCGGGGCTCTGTATGATTGGGCCACGAAGCGCTTTGCTGGGTGGGGGGAACGCATGTGAACACCGCCAGTGGGGCCTTCGGTGGAGTTCCCGATGGGGCCACGAAGCGTGTGAGGTGTGTGCCGACATGGGTGGCGCGGAGGCATGTGGGCACTGCCACTGAAACTTTCGGTGGAGTTTCGTGTGGGGCCATGAAACTCGTGAGGGATGTGCCGCAATGGGCAGCGAGGACGCATGCGGACACCACCACTGGGGCCTTCTGTGGAGCTCCCTATGGGGCCACGAAGCGTGTAAGAGGTGCGCCGAAATGGGTGGCGCGGACGCATGTGGACACCACCGCTGGAGCCTTCGGTGGCGCTCCCTATGGGGCCACGAAGCGTATGAGGGGTGTGCCGAAATGGGTGGCGCGGACGCATGTGGACACCTCCATTGGGGCCTCCTGTGGAGCTCACCGTGGGGCAACGAAACGTGCAAGGGATGTGCAGAAATGCGTGGCGCGGACGCATGTGGACACCGCCACGGGAGCTTTCGGTGGAGCTCCCTGTGGAGCCACGAAACGTGTGAGGGGTGTGCCGCCATTGGGTTTTTCGGTGGAGCTCCCTATGGAACCACGAAGCGTGTATTGGGTGTGCCGAATTGGGTGGTGCGGGCGCATGTGGACACCGCCAGCGGGGCCTTCGGCCGAGCTCCGCCACGAAGCGTGGCGAGGGATGTGCCGACATGGGTGGCGCGGACGCATGTGGACACCGCCATTGGGGCCTTCGGTGGAGCTCCCGATGCGGCCACGAAACGTGTGAGGGGTGTGCCGACATGCGCGGACGCATGTGGACACCGACATTGGGTCCTTCGGTGGAGCTCCCTATTGGGCCACGAAGCGTGTGAGGGATGTGCCGAAATGCGTGGCGCGGACGCATGTGGACACCGCCATTGGGGCCTTCGGTGGAGCTCCTTATGGGGCCACGAAGCGTGTAAGGGATGTGCCGACATCTTGGCGCGGACGCATGTGGACACCACCACGGGAGCTTTCGGTGGAGCTCCGTCTGGGGCCACGCAGCGTGTGAGGTTTGTGCCGAAATGGATGGCGCCGACGCATATGGACACTGCCACTGGGGCCTTCGGTGGAGCTCCCTATGGGGCCACGAAACGTGTGAGAGGTGCGCCGAAATCGGATCATGCTCAGATAATGTGTGTGGGAAGAGGGGGGAAGGGGAGGAGGAACGTGTGAAAGCGAGGACCCAACACCACAGGAAGGTTAGGAACTGTCGTCGGCCGTGTGAAAACCTGAAAAAGCAACATGATTACCCAGCAAGGTAGACAAACACCTCTTACTACAAGCGCTGCTTGAGAACTCTCCAGAGAAAGCACAAGGAGGGGAACGACGAGGAGGAGAAGGAGGAGGAGGAAGAGCAGCACGAGACCTCAACGTTCCTCCCTTCCCTGTGTTTCGTCCTTGTCCCCTTCCCTCTTGGCGGAGGAGGGAGAGAATATAAAAGGAGGAGGAGGGGAGGAGGAAGGCGATGCCAAAAAACACAGGCGGTGGCCTGTGGAGGGTCGAACTCCTACATGCTGAGCGCGGACGGCGAGGTCTTCTTGCTGGGGGGGCTGTGGCCTCCAGGAGGGCGGCCGCGGCGACTGTAATGACGCTCGCCACAACGACGACGACGGCGACGGCGAAGGCGACGACGACGACAACGCCGTTGGCGACGGCGGCGGCGGCGACGGCGACGACGGCGGCGAGGATGATGACGACCGCGACGGTGGCGCAGCGCGCGGGATGACGACGCGGCGACGGCGACGGCGGCGGCGGAAACGGCGCGGATGGCGACGACGGCCACGACGCGGCGCCGGCCAGCGGCGGTGGCGACGTGGGCGGCGATGGCGACGACAGAAAGACAGGGCTGTAAGGAACAGGAGAAGAAGAATGAGGTAAACCTGGCACTACTACCACTACCTCTACTACGATTACTGCGACGACGACCACTACTACTACTACTACTACTACTACTACTACTACTACTACTACTACTACTACCACTACTACTACTACTACTACTACTACTACTACTACTACTACTACTACCACTGCTACTGCTACTGCTACTGCTACTGCTACTGCTACTGCTACTGCTACTGCTGCTGCTACTTCGATCACCACTACTACTACTACTACTACTACTACTACTACTACTACTACTACGACTACCACTACTACTTCTATGACCACTGCTTCTACCACTACCACTACGACGACGGTGGCAACTATTCTGATTACTAATGCCACTACGACTACGACAACTACCGTCATTACTACTACTACTACTACTACTACTACTACTACTACTACTGCTATTGCTACTGCTACTGCTACCACTACTAATACCCGTGTTAGAACCACTACTACAACTAGGATTACGTTTACTGCCACTATTATTATTGCTACTACTATCACCATTGTTCTTATTACTGCTACTTATCACTACTCCTTCTCCTACTACTACGACTTCCGCTCCGAGTACCCCTACTATCAACACTGCCACCATTACTAACACGACTATTATCATTATCGTTATTATTTCTCTTGTTATTATTATTATTATTACGAGTACTACCATCACTACTACTACGACTACGAGTATTATTCTTAGTACTACGACTAATAATCCTACGGCTAGCACTACGAATTCTACCACCACTGCCACTACTACTACTATTACTAGTACTACTGGTACTTTTATTACTACTTCTATTACTACTGTTAAGATTACTAACATTTGTATTGCGTCTACTCCGACTGGTGCACTACTTCTACAGCGACGACGATTATTATCATTACTGACCACTGCCACTACCACAATCACTACGGCGACTACCCACACTACTACTACTACTACTACTACTACTACTACTACTACTACTACTACTACTACTACTACTACTACTACCGAAACTACTCTACTACTATAGCCACCACCACTATTATTACCTTTACTCTACTGCTGCTACTACTACTACTACTACTACTATTCCTACTGCTACTACGACTACTACTACTACTACTACGACGACGACTGGTACTACTACTACTACTACTACTGCTACTACGACTACGGCTACTACTACTACTACTACTACTACCACCACTACTACTACTACTACTGCTGCTACTACTACTACTACTACTATTATTACTACTACTACTGCTACTACTACTACTACTACTACTACTACTACTACTACTACTACTAAGACTACTACGACGGCTAATACTACGACTACGGCTAATACTATTATGCCTCGCACGTCCATCATTACGACTACTACTACTACTACTACTACTACTACTATTACTAGTGCTACTACTCCCAGGGCAACACATGGTCTATGTTACCCGATTCTGACCCTGTAAGGTCCCAAGCGGGAGGGCCATTCCTGAGTGAAACTGGTAGAAGTCTCGAGCGGGAGCGTCACTTCTGAGTGGAGCCTGAGAAAGTCTGAAGCGGGAGCTTCACTTCTGAATGGGATTGGAGGAAGGTTCGAGCGGGAACCTCTGTATTTAAAAGGTTCCGCAAATCCTGTTTGAATTTCATAGAACCGTACAACACCTAGAATTGTCGCCACCTTTGACCCTCTCATTCGTGAAATTGTGGGAAGTCCCAAGCGGGAGGTTCATGTCTACGTCATTTCTACGTAGTGGAGGACGTTTCCAGCGGGAGCGCCATTTCTGAGAGAGCTTGGAGGAAATGCGGAGCGGGAGCTTTATTTCTGAGTGGAGTTGGAGGAGGTCTCAGGCGGGAGCCCCTGTCCTTAAGGGTTCCACAGCTCATGTTTCAATTTCATCGAACCGTACAAACCATAACACAGTCATCACCTTTGGGCCTCTCAGCCTTGAACATGTAGGAAGTCTCAAGCGGGAGGCTCACTTCGCAGTGAAGTTGCAGGAAGTCTTGAGCGGGAGCGTCATTTCTGATTGGAATTGGAGGAAGTCTGGATTGGCGGAGGAGGACGAGCAGGCGGAGGAGGAGGAGGAGGAGGAGGAGGACGGGTGGCAGGAGGAGAAGCAGGAGGAGGAGGAGGAGTTCGTTGGTACGCGCGTGCCTATCGATGGGCCTTCTCCATGTGCGCGAATCCGAGTATTTAGGCACATGTGCCTATGCCTACATAGGCTCGTCTCTCTCGTTCTCTCCCTCGGTCTCTCTCTCTCTCTCTCTCTCTCTCTCTCTCTCTCTCTCTCTTTCTATATATATATATATAGAGAGAGAGAGAGAGAGAGAGAGAGAGGCACTGGTCCTCTCCAGGGGTACAAAGCCGTCTGTTTTTGCGTATGTGCCTATGATATAAGGTGGCCCTCCCCGGTGGCATGAATCCGTGTGTGTTTTACGGCTGTGCCTGCATATATTGGCCGTCCCTGGTGGCCCGAATCTGAATATTTTGACGTAGGTGCCTATGGTTTAGCCGTTTCAAATGGCGAAAATATGTGTGTTTGACGTATGTGCGTGCAGATTGGCTCTTTCCAAGAGCGCGACTCGTTGTAGTTGTTCACGCTTCGCGAACCCCCACCAGCCCACCCAACAGACCCCAAAAGGTCCCAAGAGGTCCTAGGAACCACCAGGAGACCCCAGGATGCCTCAAGACTCCCCAGGAAGCCCCAGGAAACTCCAGGGGGCCACAGGAGGTCCCAGGAAGCCCCAGGAGGCCACAGGAAGCCCCCCGCAGTGGGCCTGCTTGAGTCCATCTTGGGGTCTAGGGCCTCCCAGGGCCCAAGGGTTCACGACTATTCTCATTCAGGCCTTCGGCCCATCCGCGTGCCACGGAAAGCCGCTCATGGGGTCCAAAGCCTCCCAGGGCCCAAGGGGTTGACGAAGATTCTCACTCAGGCTTTCGGCCCATCCGCCTGCCATGGCAAGCCGCTGTTGGGGCCCAGGGCCTGCCGATTCCAAAGGAGCTCCACTTTCCAGAGGGGATGTTCTAATCATTGTATACATGTATATAGTAGCCTTCTCTGCCGATTCCAGAGGAGCTCCACTTTCCAGAGGGATCCGTATTACAATAGTATATATAAAATATTGCCCTGTTCTGCCGGAGTTCGAAAATATATTTCCCAGAGGGATCCGTATTACAATTCTGAGGTTTCTGTTTTGTTTCCTGCCAGCTCCCGAGGAGCTCCACTTTCCAAGGGGACCCGTCTTACGAATATATTGAACTATTGTCTTTTCGACCGATGTCAGAGGAGCTTCACTTTCCAGATGGATCCCTATTACAATTCTCTTTATATATATATATGTTTATATAACAAGTTCCTTGTTCTGCAGATTCCAGATGAGTTCCACTTTCCAGAGGGTTCCTTTTTTACATTTACATCGTATATATGGCATATGCACTTTTTTGTTTGTTTTAATTCTATGTTTTTGGGGCGGGCGCCTCCCCGAACCCGAGCCCGAACTTTTATTCCTGACCATTCATTCACAAGTGTTAGCACAGACCACGGGTAACCCGACTACTACTGCCACCACCACCACCACCACCACCACCACCACCACCACCACCACTACTACTACTACTACTACTACTACTACTACTACTACTACTACTATTACTACTACTACTACTGCTGCTGCTGCTGCTGCTGCTGCTGCTACGACTACTAATCGTACTATTACTACTACTACTACTACTACTACTACTACTACTACTACTACTACTACTACTACTACTACTACTACTACTACTACGACTACTACTACTACTACTACTACTACTACCACTACTACGACTACGACTACGACCACGGTTTCTACTACTACTACTACCACTACTACTACTACTGCTACTATTACTACGACTACTACTACTACTACTACTACTACTACTACTACTACTGCTACTGCTACTATTAATACTATTAGCACTATTACTACGACGACTACTACTACTGCTACTACTTCTGCTACTACTGCTACTACCACTATCACTACTAGTACTACGACTACTACTGCTACTGCTACTACTTCTACTACTACTACTGCTACGACTACTACTACTGCTATTAGTGTTACTTTTACGACGACTAGGACGACTACGCCCAGTAGGCGCACCAGTATTCTGATTGGTAGTGCGACCGCTGCCACTGCTACCACGATGCCAACGAGCATTGTTACTTTTTTTTCTACCACTGCGACGACTAACACTACTACTACTACTACTACTACTACTACTACTACTGCTACTACTACGACTACTACTACTACTACTATTACTACTACTTCTACGTTCACGAACACTACTGATACTACTATTGCTACTGCTTCTACTGCTTTCACCAAGCCTACTGCGACCACGACGACAACGATTACTACTACTACTACTACTACCACTACTACTATCAGCATTAGTACGGCTAGTGTTACTACTATTGCGACTACTACTTGTATTTCTATTACGATCGTACCCGCCTGACTTGTACCAGTAATACTATCATTACAACAACAAATACTACTACTACTACTACTACTACTACTACTACTCCTAATGCTACTCGTACGACCACGATTACTATTTCTACGAATACATACTTCTCCTACTAATGTGCTTGCAACTACGACGACGACGACTACTACTACTACTACCATTATTAGTGTGGCTACTACTACTACTGCTGCCACTATTACTGCGCCAACGACGGCATCGTCTATTACAACACGTACGACTACGACTACACGTACTACGACTACGACGAAGGCGATGCCTATTATTACGCCGACGACTACTACGAAAACTAGTTTTACTGTTTCCCTTTATTAGTACTACGGCTATTACTACTATTACTACTCTTACTACTACTACTACTACTACTACTATTACTACTACTGCTACGGCTACTACTACTACTACTACTACTACTACTACTATTACTACTACTACTACTACTATTATTACTACTACTATTACTACTACTACTACCACTACTACTACTACTACTACTACTACTGCTACTATTTCTACTTCCACGACTACGACTACTATTACTACTACTACTACTACTACTACTACTACTACTACTACTACTACTACTACTTCTAGTACTACTACTACTACTACTACCACTACTACTACTACTACTACTACTACTACTACCACCACTTCTACTACGACTGCTACTACTACTACTACTACTTTACTTTTTTTTGACTACTACTACTACCACCACTACTACTACTACTACTACTACTACTACTACTACTACTACTACTGATACTACCAGTACTACCACTACTAATTCTGCTGCTACGACTACGATTACGACTTGTATTACTACAATTTCTACTACTACTACTACTAGTACTAGCACTACTGCTGCTGCTGCTAGTAGTAGTAGTAGTAGTAGTAGTAGTAGTAGTAGTAGTAGTAGTAGTTGTATTACTACTACTACTACACATACTACCACTACTACTACTACTACTACTACTACTACTACTACTACTACTACTATTACTACTACTACTACTACTACTACTACTACTACTACTACTACTACTACTACTACTACTACTACTTTTACTACTACTGATATGAGCACGAATACTTCTACTACCACGGCTGCTTCTGATTTCTCCCCCACCTTTTCTTTCTTCTCCTTCATTCTTCTTCAGGGCCTTCACGAGGTTGTTCGCTGTTTTTCGGTTTCGGGTGGCCTCCTCCGTCGTGATTTTCTGTGGCAGCAGATGTGGGATCGTCTACTCTGTAGGAAAGGCCATGTTCAATAGAGTTGGGTCAAAAGCCATGTCGCACCCCGTTAGATTAATGAGCTCCGATTGTCCCCTCACGGACTGGATGTGAATCTTAGTCAGACCCTGAGCTAGTTCGCGAGCCAGCTGGCTTCCGCTGACATTTTGTGCTGCGCCGGCTCCTTCCGATCATCCGCCATGTGTCGTGGACGTACTGTTGTGCTCGCGAGCGCCGCAAGCAGCATGAGAACATCAATTCAGCTTCCAGTGCTGGTCAGAGGCGAATGCGGCTCCAGGAGCAAGGACACAGCGTCGTCCGCAGTTCCACTGTCAGGAAGCACTTGGATGCGTAGGGTTGGGCCCAGTGCTTGTCGGGCGACCGTCGGAGTCGGCTCCCACTTGAGAGGCTGAGGTCTTCCGCTGGGAGAGGAGGAGGAGGAGGAGGAGGAGGAGGAGGAGGAGGAGGAGGAGGAGGAGGAGAGGAGGAGGAGGAGGAGGAGGAGGAGAGGAGGAGGAGGAGGATTGGTGGATGCCTGTGGTTCTGAGGGCTCGTATCCAAGCGTCGGCCTTCTGATCCCTCACACGCCCTTCGCGTGTTCCGAGTTGTTGTGGTTTACCTCTTACGGGGATTTGTTTCTGGGAGCCCTCGTGAAACTTGCAGATGTTCTACGACAAGCCCTCAGCCAGTCAAAAGCTCACACGATGAATGAACTCTCCTCGGCGGCGTGAGGTTGGGCGGAAATGTCGGCACAAATCATGATTGCCGGACACAGCATAATGCTTGGCCAATGGTCGCCCCCCTTTGCGTGTCACAGTCAGACGGGGAAACGGAACCTGATCTCCCCTAAAGATGCAACTGAATTTCCGGGAGCCTAGATCATGTGGCTACGGTGTGATCTCGCACTCAGGAGTCCCGCCTGGATGAATTCCGTAAGCTCCTCTTCCTTGTTTTCCTTTTGTATTCTAGGGCGAGTTTGGAGTAAGCGGAGGAGGGGTGGGGATCCCTCTCCCACCCTGCCCCAGCCTCCTGCCCTCTCCCACGCCTGAGGTGGAGGAGGAACGGGAGGCGCGGGGGCCACCTCCTTGTTCCCGTCTTGTCCACCATTCCCGCCTGCCCCCAAGCCTCCCCCCGGTGGCTGTGCTCGTCTTGTGGTGGACCACGAGGTCCCAGGCGAGACAATGCCTTGGTAGGGCCTCTCGGGGGATTCCTTGCACGCCAACCTCCACAAGCCGATTGTTCATGATTATAGCGACGGTGGGGGAATTTACCCTGCCTGTCTAAAAAGCATGTGCTATACAAGTGGCGGCCATGTTCGCAGTTTGGCTCAGAGATGCGTCGGTCTGCCCACGGGAAACATCTGGAAACGGGAGTGGAACCCATTGTGGGACCTCGGCTCGATGCCTGGAGGGCGTCCATTCTGTTTCAGGCTCAGGATGCGAGCTTTCTGTGTCACTCCCTCCTCGTGCTCGTCGGGGTCCGAGTCGAGCTTGTCGTGCGGCGTGGTATCAGCAGCCTGTGCAGTGTTATTTTCACCCGGCTCGGTACCTACTGCTGAGATGGCGCCTTTTTGTTCCTGACCGTAAGGCCTCTGAGGGCCACGAAAAGCATGCATTGCTTTCCCTTGGCCGCCAGGCCTCCCAGGGCCACGAAAGCTTGCAGTGCGCGGGCCTGGCGTGCGTTGGTGTTGGCGTGGTCGAGTGCGACAAGAATCCTGCCAACCATCCCCTCCCCACCCAGCCCTCGATCGGGAGGGGGAGGACGCAAAGGAGGACGACGAAGACGATGTCAATGAGGAGTCGTGAGGAAGACAAGTATAAGCGAGCGGGAGGAGGAGGAAGAGGAGGAGCAGGGGGAGGAGGAGGAGAAGGAGCCTACTTCCCTGAGTCCTTTCCTTGCTATTTCTTTCCCCGTCCTCCCTCCTACTCCCCCTCCTCCCTCCTATTTTATTCGCTTGTCTCCCGACGCGACGACGCTCACAATCGATCCCCATAGCTGTCCTGGGGCGCATTCTGACCGGGATTGCGAAGTGGATCCAGCTGTGTCGACGAGGGCTTCCGGTGATGCCCAACAGTGTTCCATCTTGGAGCTTGCAGGGGCCATGTCAGGGACTGGGGGGGGGGGGCACGAGGAGGGGGAGAAGGAGGGCGGCGACGGCCACGGCCAGGCCGACGACGGCGCCGGCGGCAACGGCGGCGACGGCGACGGCAGCGACGGCGGCGACGACGACGAGCGGCGGCTTCGACGACGACGGCCACGGCGGCTGCGATAGCGACGGCGGCGACGGCGGCAGCGACGGCGGCACCGACGGCGGCTGCGACGACGGCGGCGGCGGCGGCACGCGGCGGCACGCGGAGGAGGCGACCCGTGGAGCGTGCGGCGGCTCTGGGGCGCCGCCGCCGGAGGCCCGCCCTCGCGCGTGGCGCGCGTGGCCGCGGGCTGGCGGCACTGCCTGCTGCTCACCGAGGCCCCCTCGCTGCGCCGGCGCCGCCGACAGCCGCTGCCGCCGCCGCTGGCTGGGGGCTCCCGGGCGCCAGCGCCGCCGCCGCCGCGGCGGCAGCGGCCGCCACCACCTGCCGCGGCGATCATCACGGCGGCGGCGATCACGATGGTGGCGTCGATGGCGGCAGGGGCGCTGCTGTCGTCGCCGCCGCTGCCGTCGCCGTGGTGGCCGTGGTCGTGGTCGAGGCAGTCGTCGATGTCGACGTCGTCGTCGTCGTCGCCTTCGTCGTCCCCGCCGCCAGAGTACCGCCGTCGTGTCCGTTGCCACCATTGTCATCGTCACTGTCTTTTCCGTCGTTGCTTCCGCTGTCCATCCCCGCCTCCTCATCAATGTCTGCCTCACACTATAGGGGGAGTGGCGAAGTGCGGCACGGGGTGGGCGGGGAGGGACTTGCTACGCAGGCCCCTCCAATCTCCAGGGTCGGACACCGTACGCCCGCCCAGCACCTCACGCTTCCCCGCAAACGCTGCATCATATGCAGGCTGCGGTTCACTACATGGGTTTGCCTATTATTAAGTCGGGCCTGTCCCCCTACAGGGGATTTTCGACGAAAAATAAAAAATACCCCAAACATACTCAACAAATAGTCCAAACATAGTCTGGGGATTATTTGTTGAGTATGTTGTGACCTCTTTTGTGTATTTTTGGGGTATTTTTTATTTTTCGACGAAAAATTCCATTGTAGGGGGACACGCCCGACATAAGCCTAGACTTTCACATACGCCCCAAGGCCGCAATGAGTTAAGACAGTGTGGTCTTGGCGAGGGATCCAAGCACCATTCGGTGGCGTCGCGGATTTTTCAGGTCAGGGTGTCCTGCATGATTCCTCCGTTTCCGCATGCGTCCTTCTCCCTCGTTCTTGTCTCGTCTTGCTCCATCATGAGGATAGAGGAGGACAGGAACGACGACGACACGATCGAAGACGAGGAGGATGATGGCGACGGCGACGGCAGGAGTTAACAATGAACACTCGCATACATTTCGCTCGAGGAGCTTACTGAAGCTACTTTGGATCCCTCTTGGGGCCAATTTGGAAGCTTTCGAAAGCTTTGGGGGACCTGTTGTCGTCCTCTGTGGGGACTTGGGAGGCCCGCCTGGGGCCACCTGCGAGGACATGTCGATCAAAGCAGGGGGGGGTGCAGTGGCCTTGCCCCGGTTGAGCTCGAGCGAACGCCTCTTCGAGCCCTCGTTGGGCGCTTCTGGAGAGCTCTTGGGCGCAACTGGGGCCGTCTTGGACCTCGTGGGGGACCCTGGTCGGGCTCTCTCGGGCCCTCTTGGAGCCCCCTCGCGGCCTCCGAGGCCCGGCGGCACTGACAGGGCGAGGCGGCAGAACAGCAGCGGAGAGCACAGTGGTTTGGAATGGTTCGGGCGTCTCGGCTGACTCCTCGGGGGGCTCCGAGACCACTTGGAGTCGTCTTGGGGCGGTCGTGGGCATGCTGCCGTCAGGAACGCGCGCGTAGCGCGTAGCCTTCCGTGGCCATTTGGGCTCGAGGCCTCCGGCTCCAAGCTGCTCCGACGAGCCCCCTGCCGTGCTCGGCCGGCGCGGACCCCGCGGCCGCGGCGCCCAGGCTCCGGGGCAGCCCGAGGGCCCATCGCCATTCTCAAGCAGTGGCGAAGCGTCCCGGCGTGCCTATAGGCCTACCAAAGAATGTTCTAAGGACCTTTTGTGGTCTCCACGGTCAACGAAATTTTCTCAGAACATTTCTGGCCAGGACTGTCCTGTTTCAACAAATTCGGCTAATGTTCAACAATGCTGCTGCTGCTGCTGCTGCTGCTGCTGCTGCTGCTGCTGCTGCTGCTGCTGCTGCTGCTGCTGCTGCTGTTGCTGCACATCCATAGCCTTTGGGGCTCTAGCTGAGCAGATCGTAAGGCAGGTGGCGAGCACGCAACCGCTCGCCGGCCTCAAGGGAAAATAATCATCACGCTTTGACCCTTCTCGCTCATTTGTGTGGGTTGGCACCCGATGGCGCATCGAGAAGGAGCGGCGACCGGCGCGGATGGGCACCATCCCAGTTTCGCTGCTGTCATGAACGGCATCGACGGAATTCGGGAGCGCTCGCCCAGACGTGCAAACGATCAAGGACCTCCGCAGCAGGCTGCAGCACGGTCTCCGGCTGCTGGTGGAGGCAATGAGACTAATACGCACGGCCTTGAGAGTTTGATAAAGGAGATGGTAACATCGAACCAGATGATCGCCAACAGCATGCAGGCGCTGATGCAGCAGCTTGCAGCCGGACAGGGGGTAACAGCAACCCCCCCTCCTCCACCAGGTTTGGATCAGCAGACCTTGTTGCAGACGGCGGCGGCGGCCACCACAGCTGCAAATCATGCGGCTTCAGCGGCCGCGGCGGCGGCGCAAGCGTGCCGCAAGCCGACCAAGATACCGAAGGAAATCTTGGTGGCGCTTGAGGGAGTGAAGAAGCGCTTCGAGGGAGACCTGCGCAAGCTGGCAGCAGCCACGCGGAGAGCAGAGAAGGTCACCTCCGAGCTGGCCGATTTCGAGCGCGGGCCTGGCCGCTACCCAGCGGGCACTAGGCCTTTTTCGTCCTCAGCAACACAGATCGAGTTGGATGAGGCATGCACGAGCGCAAGTGCAGACTCTTTGAGGCTCCAGATCGTGGTGCCCCAGGGCTCGACCTACAGGGAGGCCATGGCGCACGTGCACTGGGCGTGCTCGAAAGAGATGCGCGCCTTGGAGCTGGAGGCCGCCAAAGACAAGCTGGCGAGTGCCAGGCAGGCAGCAACGAAGGAAACGTTCTCCACTTCCGTCAGGACGCTCGTCCTTTCGGCATCGGAGCGGGACATCTCTGCGGCGTTGGGCCTCGAGCAGCCCCTGTACACGCCGATCCCTGAGACAGAGGTGTCGGAGTACGCGGCTGTGCTCTACAAGCAGGCTGTGGACAAGGTAGCCAAGGAAGTGGAGACGAGGAAGGAGGAGCAAGCAAAGAAGAAAGCAAAGGAGGATGAACAGGAGATGGAGCGGCTTCGCCTTGATCCTGCCAACATGCTTGAACAGGTCATTGATGCAAGGATCGCGGATAAGTTGAAAGACCACCCATCGGATCTGGACGAGAACATGAACGGCGAGACACCGCCTTCTTCAAAGACCTTGTGCAACCAGCTGATGGCAAAAAACGGATCTCCCCCGGCTGCGAAGTCGGGGAAAGCGAAAGGCAAGAATGGCGAAGGCAAGGGCAAAGGCAAGTACACTCTCAAAGGCGACCACGACAAAGGGAAAGGCACATCTACACACAGCAAGGGTGGCAAACAAACAAAAGGTGGGAAAACGGATGGTGGAAAAAACGGCAAGGCGGATGGAAAGGGCAAGAGTGGCAAGAAGGGCAAGCCCGGCAAGGGCAAGGACGGCAAGCACGGAAAAGGTTACGACAAAAAACATGGAGGGTACAACAAAAAGTGGCAATGAGGCATCGTGGAAACATTCGTTGGATGGCCAGGCTAACACAGGGCTTGGACGCAGGCGACATTCACGTTTTGCTGAATTGGGACACTTGGGCTGAAAGAGTTAAGTTGTACAATCCGCGTACGAAATGCATGGAACCCATTACAGACATACCTTGGCCAATCAAGTGGCTGATCATGCGACGACACCGAAAGCACCGGTTTCAATCGCGATCTCTTCCTTCGTTGGCTGCTGCTCGGATGCATTGGCAACACTTTTCCGATCGACTCAAATGGAAATGGTATTCAAAGTTCTTTCCTTCTGACAATCCATTGCCCTCAGGTCCAAAGCCCCCTTCTCCATGCAGATTTTCTCAAACAAGCAAGGCTCGTGAAAAAAACGAGTTCTTCGAGTTGGAGACTTGGATCCAATGTGCAGGGCGTTGCTATATGAGAGCGGTCTCAAGAGCGAGATCGAGGGCGAAGTTTGCTCCCAGAGACTTTTCGAACACATGTCCGCTCGAGAAGTTGGCGCTCAGACTTCTGAGACAAAGCGGGTACACTGCCATCCCTAACGATAAGAATGGCAGTTTCTCCTTCGTTCGACGCGTAGACCTTCCGGCAATTAGCTCAGAGATCCTAGGCTCCAATAAGTATTTTGAGACAAGTGCCATTGGGCTGAACCAGGGGGTTAGAGCACGATATAGAACAATTTGCAAATGGGTTGCAAAAGAAATGGATGACCGTAGATTGGCTTCGAATCTCATGCGGTCCGCTTTCTTCCCGAAGGCCACACATGTAAGTAGGCTGCTGGTGCTGGTTAAAAGCCACAAGCCTCAAGGGGAGGTCGTTTGTCGACCAGTCCACGCGTCGCCAAATTACGTATTCAGCAGCCTCAGCCACTGGTTGATCCCAGTATTGAGGGCTAAACTGAATGTGAGAGCACCTCATCTTCTCAAGGATTCTGGCGACTTGGTGTCGCGCCTGTCCCGCATCAAGCCAACGGGCAGGTGGCATATGGCTAAGGTGGATGTCAAAGATTTTTACATGTGCGGAACAAGAGAAGAGATATGTTCAGAGGTGCTTTCTCTTTGGGAAGATTGGGACCCAATGAAACGGATAGTGGCTAAAGTTGTGGAGTTCCTTCTCGAAGCGCAATACATTGCCGACCCATGGGACGAACCCCATGACACGGTTCACGGGGTCGGCACTGGGACAGGGATGGGGCTCCCACACTCAGGAGACTTAGCCGACGTAACGCTTCTAGCCTTGATGGAAATCAAATTGCTCAAGCGCGAAATCCTCAACCACCATGGTATTGAGGGTTACTTCCGGTTCCGAGATGACATTCTTATCTTGGGGAGTGGGCTGGCTTCTATGACGAACCAGTTCTTCAGACAAATGCAGGAACATGCGAAGTTTTACCCTCTGACAATATCTTGGGACATGTGGGATATGCAGTATTTGGAGGTTGTTGTGCACAAGCGGGAGGGGAGATTCGAGGTCTCTCATTTCTTGAAGCCGTCATCTCTGCTCCCCACGCTTTCTCCTAGCAGCGCACACCCAGAGCAAATACATAAATCATGGCCAGGAGCATTTGCCCATAGAGTCCGTGGTCTGTGCAGTAGTGATACACTCTTCCATGTTGCTACACAGTCTGTCAGAGAACGCATGCGTGTAGGATACACCCACACATATACCAGAGCTATTTTTGAGCAGGCCATTAAACAAGTGTCATGCCATAGAGCTGGCACGGCCAGGCTTAAGCAGGTTCCATTTGCATGGCTCGTCCTCGGATACCATCCTGTGCTGGTCGCCGAGATGCGACGCCTCATTTGCCAGTTGAACACGAGTGAAACACTCAGACTTCTGTTTGCAAAGGCCTTTCGTTCGCGAATGGGGGAGTGCCGGCAAGCAGTGGGTCTGAGCTGGCGCAACAGCGCGCCTTCGCTCATATCGGTAGTTGTTTCCACAAGCATGCATGTTCATTAACGGTGTAGTGGATGGGGATGGTGGTGGTGTGCTGTTGCTGCACATCCATAGCCTTTGGGGCTCTAGCTGAGCAGATCGTAAGGCAGGTGGCGAGCACGCGACCGCTCGCCGGCCTCAAGGGAAAATAATCATCACGCTTTGACCCTTCTCGCTCATTTGTGTGTGTGTCATTTGTGTGGGCAGCCCGAGGGCCCATCGCCATTCTCAAGCAGTGGCGAAGCGTCCCGGCGTGCCTATAGGCCTACCAAAGAATGTTCTAAGGACCTTTTGTGGTCTCCACGGTCAACGAAATTTTCTCAGAACATTTCTGGCCAGGACTGTCCTGTTTCAACAAATTCGGCTAATGTTCTAAGAACATGTTTTTTCCCTACCTAGGCTCTGCCTAGAAGGGTTCTCACCCTCTGTCTTGAAGGGGCCGGGCAGTGCTAAACGCCCTGGGCGGTTCCCCCAGGATCCGCCCCGCGGTTCCCCCAGTTGCGTCTCCTTAGCTTAGCGTTGCTTATCTCATCTTATCTTAGCTTAGTTCATCTTAGCCAGCTCAGCTTCATCTTAGTTTAGCTTCATTTTAGCTTAGCTTACCATCATCTTAGCTTCGCTGAGCTTTAGCATAGCAGAGCGCAGCATAACATAGCATAGCGTAGCATAGCATAGCGCAGCACAGCATATCATAGCATAGCCCAGCATATCATAGCATGGCGCAGCATAGCATAACATAGCATAGCAGAGCAGAGCAGAGCAGAGCATAGCATAGCATAGCATGGCATAGCATAGCATAGCATAGCGCAGCACAACACAACACAGCATAGCACAGCGCAGCATAGCACAACATAGCATAGCCTAGCCTAACCTAGCCCAGCATAGCATAGCATAGCATAACATAGAAGAGCAGAGCAGAGCATAGCATAGCATAACATATCGCAGCACATCATCCACTATTGCTGCTGCCGTAGGTGTATATATATGTATACATATGTGTATACTTATATGTGTGTGTGTGCGCACGTATGTTCCATATGTACTTATATGTGTGTGCTGCTATATTTATGTACTTATGTGTACTTTAGGAGAAGGAGGAGGACGGCGTTCACCGCTCCTACTAATGTTGCTTTCCTAGAGGCTCCAACTCCTAGGTAGGGTCGCACTGTCATAATTTGTTATTTGAGCATTTTTAGGTTCTGAGAACATGTCGTGGTAGAATTCTAGGAATGCCGGGACGGTCGGTCCCCGCTCAACATCGCCGTTCGGCCGCCAGCATGAGCCGGATGTTCGCCACCCTGAGCAGGCACGATAAGGAGTTCAACGAGCTCTATGCTTTCATGGCAGCTGATGACACCGACGAACTTGCGGAGGATGAGCTGGCCAAGTGGATGGGGAGGGTGCAGAAGAGGAAAGGATTGGCGTTTTTGAAGCACGAGCAGACCGGGCAGTCAGCGCTGATTGCAGGTATTCGGAGATCTTGCTGCATAGAGAAGCTCAGAATCCTCCTGCAGCACAGAGACTGCGCGAAGTGTGGCGATAAAAGCGGCCTGCCTCTGCACATTGCTATCCAGGTTGGCTCCAAAGCCGACACCTTGACAGTGCTTGTAAACACGTACCCTGATGCCTTGAAGGTCCCCGACGTGCAGACGCGGCTTCTGCCCCTGCACATGATGCTCGACAACGAGTCTTTCAACCAGGAGACAGTCAGCGTGTGCAGATTGATGCTGGAGTTCTATCCGGAGGCTGCACAGATCAGCTGCAATGACCGCCTAGCGTTCCACATCTGCCTGGAGAGGCACCTGCCATGGGAGCTGACCGAGCTCGTGCTGTCGAAGAATCGGTGCGCGGCTGCGACCCCGACGTCTGGCATGCTCCCCCTGCACACGGCCGTGCTTCATAATCTGGACTCCCGCATCATCAGCAGCCTCATCGCCGCGCATCCGAGGGCGCTGCTGCTCGAGATGCCAGGCAGCGGAAGACTGCCGGTCGAGTACGCGATCGAGAAGAAGGCCCACACGACGGTGATCCTCAGCTTGATGAGCGGCGTGCCCAGCGGCCCCTGCGCGGATCCGAGGGCCGTCGCCTACGCGTGCGCGTCGACCCTGGGGTTGGTCACCGAGACACCTCGGGCGGCCGACGTGGACTGCTTCTCGCACCGCGTCGTGCTGCAGGTCGTGTTGCAGAACCTGCCGTTGCAGGCGGTGCACATGGATGCGGTGAAGGGTAACATCCTGGAGGAGCTGGAGCGGAGCGTCCGCGATTCCATGGTCTCTCTGCCGGCGGGTTACCGCGTGGAGCTCCTGCACCCCGAGTTGGCTGGCGGCGTCCCGCATCAGGCAGCGACGCCTGCCAACATGAGAAAGTCTGGGACGCTTGAGAGCGCGTCCTCCAAGTGGCGGTGGGAACGTCAGGGGTCCTTAGAGTCCATGCATTCCGTGGCGTCTGCGCTGATGGGGAGCCGCCCTTTCCGCGATCAGCACCACGACAGGCCTACGACCACGGTGTTGGTTTTGGAGTTTTGCATAGACACCGACTTGGGCCTCGGTGAGAGGCTCACGGAGGAGCTGAGGCTCGTAAGGGAGCGCGGTATCCTCAAGGGCGACGCCGAGGAGAGGATCAGACAGCTCTTGATGTTCGTGACGAGCCCTGACTACGAGGGAGATCTCGCAAGCATACAATTCGAGTCCGCGGTCGAGGACTTCCGCGTCGACGTGGGCGAGGCCCAGTTGACCACCATGTCAATCCCGATACCTATCGTGCCCCTGGGCGGGGACAAGTTCACCCTGCACATGGGGCTCGAGGACACCGTCGAGGACATCAAGAGGCGCGTCCGGCGCCGGGGTTCGAGGGCGGCCCACGCGCAGAGGCTGAGGCTGCCCGACGGCAGCACCCCCGCCGACAGACTGGCCTGCACCGACCTCGTGCAGATGCTCGCGGACCAGGCCTCGCTGGAGGACGGCGGAGGGGCCCTCCGCCTGGAGGAGTCGCACGAGTTCCTGCACCTGGCGCTGCGGTTCGCCGTGGACGATCAGATCGTGGACGAGCTCCTCGCCAGGGGGGCTCACAAGGTCAGGGAGGCGGACTCGGAGGGCGTGCTGCCGCTGCACCTGGCGATGCTCAGCGGCGTCTCGGAGAGGGCCTGCGAGCAGCTGCTCGGCTGCTACCCGGAGGCGGCCAGGGCGAAGCTCCAGGGGCACGGCTGGTACCCGCTCGACCTGGCCCTCGATCGGAGGTTCGGACAGAGCTTCGTCCACGCTCTGCTCGGGCACGTGAAGCCCCGCGACTGGACCCAGGAGTGGTGGGCCGATCCCCCACCACCACTGCCATGGGTAGGAGAGGGAGGAGGAGGAGGAGGAGGAGGAGGAGGAGGAGGAGGAGGAGGAGGAGAAGGAGGAGGAGGAGGACGAGGAGGAGGAGGAGGTGGACCTCCTCCTTCTCCTCCTCCTCCTCCTCCTCCTCCTCCTCCTCCGCCGTCCTACATAAGGGAGTGGTGGTGGAAGATTTGCCCATCAAGGATGGTTTCTACAACCCGGAGGGCGCCCGCCTCCACAAGAAGCTCCGGCTGCCTCTGCACGTGGCCGTCCTGAATGGGTACCCCGCCGCCACCCTGAAGCTGATCGAGAGCAGCGGGTGCCCGCTGGACGCCGCAGACGCGGTCTCGGGCCAGTCGCTGCTCGACTGCGCCCTGAGCTGCAACCGCGCCGAGGAAGTCCAGACCATCTTTCCGCACATGATGGGCTCCGTCGGCGACGTCTACGACGGCAGCCGCCGTCGGTTGCATCAGGCGGTGGTGGCTGGAGCTCCAGAGAGCATCGTGCGGCCGATGTGCAAGAAGTGCGGGGGCGAGGAGCTCCTGGTGCGCGACCTGGGGGGCAACCTCCCAATCCACCTGGCCTGCGCGCACGGCGCCACGCTCGTGATCGTCAACGTCCTGCTGGAGTTCTGCCCCGACTCCGCGCGCCAGCCTGACAGGAGAGGCCGCCTGCCCATCCACCTCGCGGTGGAGAACCAGGCGCGGCCAGGGGTCATCTCGGCGCTGCTGGCGAAGGATGAGGGCATGGTCAGCGCCGTGGCGCCCTGCGGGCGCAGCTTGCTCGAGCTGGCGGCGAAGGTGGACGCCCCGCCCTGGGTCACCGCGGAGCTGGTGGAGCACTGGCCAGAGGACGCGCTCGAGTTCAGCCTTCTGCGCGGAGCCTGGCCCAGGAACGGGGCCTCTGCGGACATCCACAGACTGCTGCGCGAGAGGGAGGAGCAGCGGGAGGCCCCGGGCGCGCTGGCGGAGCCCGGGCTCCCCGTGCTGCAGCGGGCCCCATTGAGGGACTCGCGCGGCAGCGCCAGAGGTGAGGGCGCGGCAAGCGTAGTGGAGACGGCCGCGCAAGGCCCGCCGTCGGAAGGCGCCGGCGCGGAGGAGGTCGAGGAGGAGGGCACCTTCTCGTCGCTCTACAACGGCCTGGCAAGCGTGTTCGCGTGGTCCTGAGCTCACGGGCAGGAGCCTCGGGGGGACTCGTGGTGCGGCCGCGGGCGCCAGGTCGCAGAGCCTCGCTGCTTCACGGTGCGGCGCCGTCACGGGGACGCGCTCCAGCACGGCCGCGACGACTGCCAGGCCCGCGCTGGCAAGTGCGGAACAGACGGACATTTGGCCCACTCGCAGAGCAGCGTCGCTCCCTGGGGGAGCGCCGTCAAGAGGGCCTCTGTGGCCGCGAGAGTCGCTGGGCCTGCGCGAGCAGCTGCCCGCAAGCGCCGGCAGACAGCTGCCGACTCGAGCCCCTGCGTGCAGCCAGCCGCCCTGCCCAGGTTGGCGTGCGGCATCTCGGCTGCCGGTCGCCCCTGCGCGCTGCAGGACTCCGTGCCGCAGCTGCGCGGGAACGGCCTCCAGGCGCAGGCGGGGCACTGTTTCCCGAGGTCCCCTCTGGCGCTGGCCCTGCTGGAGCAGGCGGCGGCTGTGCCAGAGCAGGCCGCCCTGCCGTGCATCCCGCGGCCGGTCTGGCGGCGGTCCGGCGGACGCGGCGAGGCTCCTGGGCAGGGGCGCCGCCGCGGCACTCGGCGGGCGCAGGGGCCGCAGAGGCGCTCGCGCGCTGCTCGCGCCCCGCGTGCCCTCGGTCGCGCCCGGATCCGTCCCCGGCTGGAGCTCGGCGCGGCGTGGAGGTGGCCGGCCAGAGGCTGCTGCGGGGCCGATGGGAGACGAGGTGGCGTTGCGAGGGCACCATGGGCCAGGCGCGGTCTCAAAGGTGAGCTCTGTGCCGAGCCAGGGCGAGGCGAGTTCACCGTGCACTTCTGACTCCGCCAGCAGCTCCAGCGCCAAGAGCTACGTCACGCTGGGCTCGCCGTGGCGCCCCCCTTTCGCCTGGACCCCCACGGCAGCCGAAGAGCAGCAGCCTAGCAGTGCAGCCCAAGCTGTTTTCCCACCACACCTTTCACCGCCAGTGGGCCTCGGCCTCCGGCCCAAGCAGGCACCATTGTGCGCGAAGAGGATATATTCTCTTCCGTTCGGCACATCTTTGGCGACAGCGACTGCGACCGAACCACCGCCCACGCGCTTGCCTCATCCTGTTGCGAAACCTCTGGTTGCCAGCCTGGAACATATCCCTATCCCCATGTTTGACATCACCTCACCTCGAGGCCGATCTCAAGGGTTCCCTCAGCTTTCGAGGGCCTGTCCCCAAGACTGTCCTCGCGTTTTGCTCGCCCATCTTAGGGATAGGGATACGTTCGAGGCTGGTTATCTGGGGGGAGCCCCCGCACGAGCACCGAGCTGCACCCGCTCCTGGCGGCTGCCCCGCGGCCCCCGGCTGTGTGGCCGGCCCGCGCTCTCGCTCGGGGAAGGATCTGTGCCGCCTTCCCGCCCGGGGTGCCCTCGGCGGGCGCGCGACGGCCTCACGGCCGCAGGCGCTGGCGTGCGGCAGGGGGCACCGAGGCCCAGAGCCAGCCAAGGCTGCGCACGTGCTGCTGCCGCGCCAGATCCTCCCGTCCGGTGTCCCTGCCTCCGTCCGGAGGGGAAGAAACACACACATGGACACCGTTCATCGTCGATCCCAAGGAAGATGCAGGAAGATAGGGGAAGTGTGTGGGGGGAAGACGAAAGCCCAGAAAATACGAGAGAGTGTGGTGGGGAATCCTGTTATTTGCGTGTATTCCTTTGTGTATTCCATGGCCCCTCCACTCCGAGCCAAGCGACTGCAGGTCAGATCCTCCACTGGCTACGGCGCGGCATGTCTTCCAGCGCGCGCCCGCCGGCACCCCTGCTCTTGCTGCCCCCGAGCGCCGAGCGTGGAGATGTCGTCTGGTGGCTCTCGACGAAACATGAAACATACCCCGAACAATACCCCAAAAAGGTCAAAAAATATTCAAAAGATAGTCCCCAGACCATTTTTGGACTATTTTTTGATTATTTTTGGGGCATTTTTTATTTTTCGTCGAGAATCCCCCTGTAGGGGGACAGGCCCGACTTAAGTGCAGGGCCAGCTCTCCGCACAGTCGGACCGAGGTACAAGATCGAGGTCGGTTCGGGGAGGGCAGTCTGTCGGGGGTGGGCAGACCTCCTACCCTGACACGTCGATTCAGGAGTTGGCCGTTTTCGGTTCGCGAGAGGGCGTCGCGGCCGTCATTTGTGCGGGTCCAGGTCCGTCGGTTTCGGTCCCAGGCCGCTTTCACTACGGGGAGGTTTGCTAAAGGGAGGTTTGTCCACCGCCGGAAGGAACGTTTGCTTAGCGCTTCGTTCCGCTGGTTCTGGCCCGCGACACGCTAACCGCTTCCCGTTCCCCGAGCATCAGCGTCCCGAGCTTCTCTCAGCCTCCCGCCCTACGGAGCGGAGCGGCACGCTGTCAGCTCGCAGGGCATGGCGTGTCGCTGGGGCCGCCGCCGCGACACGCTAAACACAAGTTTCTGATTGCAATTATTGTGAGCCATCTTGGACTATATTGTGTGATCTCTGTTGGGATTTCACTGTGCATGCGGCTTCTGTCGCATGGGCGCGTGATCGCTCTTCTTCTGGTCGCATGCGCCTTCTGTCCGCTCATTCCCCTCTCTTCCTCCTTTCTCCTTGTCCTCCTCGTCATCTTCCTCCTTCGCTTCTTTCCCCCTCTCGTCGCGCCGATGCGTTTCTCCGCGGATTCGCACCCGTTTTGTTCCCTCGCTGGGAGCATGCAGCCCAACCTTGCGAAGAAAGTTGGTCGGCGGATTGTCTCCTACACTCGCAGGACAGCGTTTGAGTTGCAGGTGGCGCTTACGCTTCGCAGCCTCGCAGCCTGGCGCAGCGGCCACCTTGGTGGGACAATGCGCAGCACTTCAGACCTGTGTCAGCACTGTTGCAGTACTGCCATTGTCTGCTACACCTTATTCTCATAGGCGCGCTTGGTCGCAAAAAAGTGTGGGCCTCTTCGACGCCATCTTCAAGCCATATAGGTCCACTGTTAGCCAGCATGGACCCCAGGCAGTGACATGTTCTAAGATGTGCGGTGCAATCTAATTCGGTGGTGCAAACCATGTAGTGGAAACTAGGCGGTACAATCCATGTGGTGCAATCAACGCGTTGCAGAGCAATGCAAATCCATTCAAAGTATTGCAAAACAACGCAAAGCGAAGTAAAGCAATGCAGAGCAATCCAATGCTACTGCAATGCGATGCAAAGCGACTGCAATGCGATGCAAAGCATGACAAGCAACACAACGCAATATAAAGCAATGCGAAGCAATGCAGCACATTGCCACACAATGCACATTGCCACACAATGCACAGCACTGCAACACAATACACAACAATATAAAACAATGGTTCCTAGAGTGAAGCACTGCAAAATAACGCACAGCAATACAACCCAACGAAAAGCAATCCAATGCAACGCAACGTAACGCCAGACAGTGCAGTGCAAAGCAATGCAAAGCAGTGCCCGGCGACGTAAAGCAGTGCACAGCAATGCGAAGCAGCGCAACGCAGCGCAAATCAGCGCAAGGCACTGCAACATCTGCAAATCAGTGCAAGCCAATGCAAGGCAACGCAACGCAATGCCCGGCAGCGCAAAGCAACACGAGGTGACGAAACTCAGCGCAAGGCGACGAGCCGGCCACGAGCCGGCCAGATCGCCACCGCGGCGCGGTTGCCAGCGGCGACGACGGGCGGCGACGGGCGGCAGCGAGCCGCCCAGGCCGCCACTCGGGCTCACTTACCAGCGGCGACGGCGGCGTCGACCCAACACTACGCGACAACATCTACGCGGAAAGCCTACTCCACGCGGCGCAAGGCATTCCGCGACAAACACTAAGCAAATTCCCTCGCAAGCACTGCACGCCAAACGGCGACGCTAATACCATACATGAAAACACTACGCACATACACCACGCAGGAGTTCTACGCAAACACACTACACCTACACAACGCACTGGCCCAACACACTATGCGAAAGCACTACGCAAGCGCACTACGTCAACTGCGATACGCGAATACACTACGCAAATACACTACGCACATACACTACGTACATACACTACGTAAATACATTACGTACTTAGACTACGTAAAAGCACGACGTAAATACATTACGTAAATGCCCGACGCGAAATCATTGCGCCGAAACACCATGCAAATACAGTCTACGCAAATGCACTACGTATATCGTTTCACAGTTAGGCGCAACTCTCGTGTGAAGCCATATTTTTTGTGGGCGATGGGGTAGAAACACATGTAAATTGCCACATGTAAATTGCAATGCGAAAAGGTGTACCGTTAAGTCGGGGGGGGGGATGGGGGGTACTTCTAGAAAGGGGAATCGATGTGGTGCATTCTGTGTTTACAACCTGCGTGTTGCAATATATGTTGTGCATCCTGTGATGTGCAATCTATGTGGTGCTCAATATAGGTTTTGCAATCTATGCGGTGCACGATTTGGGGTGCAAGCGCGCAACCTATGTTGCACAATTTGTATGGTGCGCAAGCTATGTTTTGCAATCTCCGTGGGATCATATATGTGGTGCAATCTATGCTGTGCAACCCATGTGTTGCAATCAATGTGGTGCAACCTATGTTGTGTAATCCATGTGGTTTAGTCGTTGTTTCGGCGACGAGGCGGCGACTGGGAGGCGACGGCGGCAACAAGGTGCCGGACCCGATTTACGAGCCTAGACGTTTGGCGGCGACGAGGCGGCAACGGAGTGGCGAGCGACGGGGCGACGACTTTGCGGCCAGATCGACCCCCAGGCCCAGAAGGCGAGCGGTGACGAGGCGGCGACGGCGGTTACGTCATCGACGGACCGACCCTCAGAACAGTTACGAGGATGGAGGGCCGTGCCTTTTCAAAGTGGGGTTGTCGCTGGAGAGCTGTCAGGTTTCAATACAGTCGGGGCCCTGAAGAAGGAACCCTTTTCGTTGGGGAGGGGCTCCGCGTTCCTGACGTGTTTCACAGCTTGCCTCAGGTTTTCTTTATGTTTTCGACAGGAAATTGAAGGTTACTCCAGATTTCGTAATAAAGGGAGGGGGGTCTCATTTCGGGGGGGGTCTCTTCCAGGCCATCTTGGAGGGCCTGGGGTGGTCTGGGGACGATGTTTTGGAGGGTTCTCCCACGGGGGGGGTCTGAAATGGCTTGTCTTGGAGGGTCCAGACCCCCTCCCTTTTATTACGAGATCTGGAATAACTTATGGAAAAAAGGGACCTCGTTCCTTATTTAGGGTTCCTTGGGTCAGCGCCCCGGCTGTACGAGGATGGAGGACAGTGCCTTTTCAGAGTGGGGCTGTCGCTGGAGAGCCGTCGGGTCTCAAGACTGGCTGGAGCGGAGCAAACGGCTGCTCGGATGGACCACCGGTGCCATGCCACCAAAATGGGAGGTTCGCTGAAGACTTCTTCGGAAGTCAGGATAGGGGGCCACATGCGAACCCTACCCCTACCCCCCACGATTTCGGAGGGGGAGGGTGGGGTTCACTTCGCTCGGGATCTCTCGAGCGAAGTGAACACCACCCTCCCCCTCAGAAATCGTGGGGGGTAGGGGTAGGGTTCGCATGTGGCCCCCTACAAGACCAGAAGGGAAACCCTCGGCAACAATTCCTTACATGGGGGCGGTTCATAACTAGTCAAACCAGAGCTCTCGCTGGAAAACCCGTTGAACTGCATGAGCATACCTCTTCGCATGACGCACTACTCGCTGAAGGGGTGCAATCTTGATCCTCGTCAGAATAGACCGGTTGTCTGGAAGGCATGTCCATCTGGTACTGGTCTTTCAACGGGCCTCCCTTGTAGTAATAATGCAGATGTGTCAAGAAGTTGAAAGGAGTGGGTTTGGGACGGGAAGGGTGTACTGCAGCATCGTTGACGCATCCTGGATTGTCTCTGGTCCTCCTGAGGGCCCGCTCTCTTCCGCAGAGTGCGTCACTAGGTTTGTGAGGTACAGTGCGTCTCATATTACAGTACGCATCCGTTCACGTAAACGATCGGCATCAGCGACTTTCCCGAATGCTGGTTATCACCTGACCCCGCAGACGTATCACATTTTTGAAGCCACGGCCTCCATGACAGACTCTAATGCACTGGCGGTCGCCCCAGCGGAGCACGCACGACTCCCGCGTTCGTTTGTTCTGCCCCCCCCCCCTCCGGCGCGAGTCGTTCTGGCCCAAGCCACCTCCTGGCACTCAAGCCGCCATCCTGCGCCCAGCGCCGCTGACAGCCCGTAAAACCGCCGAAGCAATGGCTCCCAGGCGCGGCTCCTCGTCCTCGCCGCTTGTTCCGCCTGCTCCGCCGCCAGCCGCCGCCAGCCGATCTCGTCGCTGCCGTTCGCTGCCGCGCTGCGACCGTCTCCCGCGCCTCTGCCCTCGCCGTCCGCACCTGCCGCCTGCCGCCGTGATCGCCGCCGCCGTGGCCGCCGCTTTCGCCGCCGCCGTGCTTGCCGCCGCCGTGGCCGCCACGAGATCGCCGCCTTCGCCGCCGTGGTCGCCGCCGCCGCCGCCGTGATCGCGTCCACCGCCGCCGCCTTGATCGCCGCCACCGCCACCGCCTTCGCCGCCGTAGCCGCCGTAGCCGCTGGCACCGCCGCTGCCGCCGTGATCGCCGCCCCCGCGATCGCTGCCGCGATCGCCGCCCGCTGAGGCGCTCCGCCCCGCTGACCCTGGTGGCCCTCGGCCTGCTGGCCGCCGCGCCGCTGCCCCGCCTGGGCTTCCTGGGCGGCACGGCGGCTGGCCGCCGCCGCGGCGCCGTGGCCCGCGGCGCGTTCGACTCGGGGAAGGCCCGCCGCGGGGGGCCCGCCGCAGCGCCTCGCCGCTGCTGCCGCGGTGCTGGTTGCCGCCGTGGGGGGGGCCTCGGCAGCCTCGTCCCTGCACGCTGCGACGTCCTCGGGGGCCTGCGCGCCTCGCCCGGGGCGCCACGGTGGAAGGGCGCTCGCGGGCCCGTGTGCAGCAGGGCACGCAGCAGACAGGTGGACACGACGCTGAGGTCGCAGAGCCACACACACACATTCTTTCTGACGCGCTGAAGCGTCCAGCAAGCGATTGCCAATCGAGGGAAGGGAGCGGAGGGGGTGCAGGAGGAGGAGGACGTGGTGGAGGAGGACGAGGAGGAGGAGGAGGAGGAGGAGGAGGAGGAGGAGGAGGAGGAGGAGGAGGAGGAAGAGGATGACGAGGAGGAGGCGGAGGAGGAGGCCGAATCTGTGGGGCGTTCGCCCGGTTCCGCGCCCAAAGGCTGTTGCGGGAATGTGATGGCCCCTTTCGGAAAGGAGCGCCTGCCCACGAGAGTCGGCGCAGGTATAGGCACCGTATCCTGGAACGGGCCCCCTGCACGGGTTTGACCATGACTGAGGCTTGACGGTCGTCAGATTCCATCCTTTCGCGATCCTCGCTCGGGGCAGGGTCTGGTTTGCCAAGTCTGGCTTCGTTCCGACTGTCCTCGCTCGGTGTCGTTGGCTACGCTGGCGTGAGTCTGGAGGCCCGAACAGCCGCCCAGTCGAAAGAGGAAAAGGTATATGAGGAGGAGGAGGACGACGAGGAGGAGGAGGACCAGTGCACACCCAGGACGCACCAACGATATTGCAATAAATCCTCCCTCCAAGTTCCTTCTTCATTGGCCCCTACGAGGATTCATTTTCTCTGAGGGAAGTGCCCCGTTGGAAGACAACCTTTTGAAAATCCAAAATTGTGCCAGAACGCCTTTCTTGAGAGTTCAACGCCGCGAATCACCGCTACTGTTGCGTCTTGACGATCCTGACTCGTGCCAGAACATCGTTCCTGGGACTTCAACACCAAGAATCCACGTGACTGTTGCGCTCTGGCATTCCGGCACCGTGCTAAAGCATCGTTTCTGAGATGGTAACCATGCGAATGGTTGAAATTGCTGCAAACCTGTAAGACGAATGTGCGCGGCGCTATGGCGAGAGCCACATTTCCAAAAGGAGCAGCCCTCCATCCGTGAAGCCCTCACGCTTTGGAAGCTGGCCGCCCTCTATCCGTGAATCCTCCGCAAGCTTTCAAGACGAGCGTGCGCGGCGCGAAGGCGAGAAGCGGACCGCCCTTCGTCCGCCCGTGGAGCTCTTTCACATGTCAAGCGTCGGGGTCGTAAATCGTGAGGAGGCCTTCGGCGAAACGCCTCGCCCGCGCGTTCGACCGCTCTCGGGGTGCGACATGGAGGAGTCGCTTTTAAGGAAGACGGCCGGAGGAGCTCAGGGAGGCTGGAAAAAGTGGCTGGGGCCAGCCCTTCCACTCTTTTCTACCCCTGGTCAGTTTCCCTTTCATGTTTCCAATTCTGGCGACCTCATCCCAGCTTCTTCGTGCTCGTCGCAGCCCCTGCGGGTTTTTTCCGACCCTGCCCACTTCCACTGTAACGGAATTCCCAATTTCACATGTTTCTAGCCTCCCTGTAGGAGGGCCGAGGACTTTTCTTGACAAGGACACAGAAGGGGGGTGGCCGAGAGGCAGAGAACAGCAGCAGCGGCGCCGCGTGCGAGCCCCCCCCCCGCGCCACTGGAGAGCACCGCGTGAGGGGGGGGATCAGGAGAGGCCTGACCGACCCCTGATTCACCACCCACCAAACCACCCCAACCCAATCCGAAGGCCTCAATTTGCCCTCCACTTCCAGTTGGGGGGGGGGTCGGGGGACATTGAAAAAACACATGAAGCCCGCACCCCCCCCAACCCGAAATTCGGGTCTTCGGGTTGGGTTGGGGTGGTCTGGTGGACAGTCGCTGATCAGCAAGCCGTCCCCCCCCGGGACGCCTCCGAGGGCGCCGCGGCCTTCTCAGAGCGCTTTCTGGGACTCTCCGGGAGGAGGAGGAGGAAGAGGAGGAGGAGGAGGAGGAGTAGGAGGAGGAGGAGGAGGAGGAGGAGGAGGAGGGGGAGGAGGGAGGAGGAGGGGAGGAGGAGGAGGGGAGGAGGGAGGAGGAGGAGGAGGAGGAGGAGGAGGAGGAGGGGAGGAGGAGGAGGAGGAGGAGGAGGGGGGAGGAGGAGAAGAGGATGACGGAGGAGGAGGAGGAGGAGGCCGAATCTGTGGGGCGTTTGCCCGGTTCCGCGCCCAAAGGCTGTTGCGGGAATGTGATGGCCCCTTTCGGAAAGGAGCGCCTGCCCACGAGAGTCGGCGCAGGTATAGGCACCGTATCCTGGAACGGGCCCCCTGCACGGGTTTGACCATGACTGAGGCTTGACGGTCGTTAGATTCCATCCTTTCGCGATCCTCGGCAGTCTGAAGTCTGGCTTCGTTCCGACTGTCCTCGCTCGGTGTCGAACAGCCGCCCAGTCGAAAGAGGAAAAGGTATATGAGGAGGAGGAGGACGACGAGGAGGAGGAGGACCAGTGCACACCCAGGACGCACCAACGATATTGCAATAAATCCTCCCTCCAAGTTCCTTCTTCATTGGCCCCTACGAGGATTCATTTTCTCTGAGGGAAGTGCCCCGTTGGAAGACAACCTTTTGAAAATCCAAAATTGTGCCAGAACGCCTTTCTTGAGAGTTCAACGCCGCGAATCACCGCTACTGTTGCGTCTTGACGATCCTGACTCGTGCCAGAACATCGTTCCTGGGACTTCAACACCAAGAATCCACGTGACTGTTGCGCTCTGGCATTCCGGCACCGTGCTAAAGCATCGTTTCTGAGATGGTAACCATGAGAATGGTTGAAATTGCTGCGAACCTGTAAGACGAATGTGCGCGGCGCTATGGCGAGAGCCACATTTCCAAAAGGAGCAGCCCTCCATCCGTGAAGCCCTCACGCTTTGGAAGCTGGCCGCCCTCTATCCGTGAATCCTCCGCAAGCTTTCAAGACGAGCGTGCGCGGCGCGAAGGCGAGAAGCGGACCGCCCTTCGTCCGCCCGTGGAGCTCTTTCACATGTCAAGCGTCGGGGTCGTAAATCGTGAGGAGGCCTTCGGCGAAACGCCTCGCCCGCGCGTTCGACCGCTCTCGGGGTGCGACAGGGAGGAGTCGCTTTTAAGGAAGACGGCCGGAGGAGCTCAGGGAGGCTGGAAAAAGTGGCTGGGGCCAGCCCTTCCACTCTTTTCTACCCCTGGTCAGTTTCCCTTTCATGTTTCCAATTCTGGCGACCTCATCCCAGCTTCTTCGTGCTCGTCGCAGCCCCTGCGGGTTTTTCCGACCCTGCCCACTTCCACTGTAACGGAATTCCCAATTTCACATGTTTCTAGCCTCCCTGTAGGAGGGCCGAGGACTTTTCTTGACAAGGACACAGAAGGGGGGTGGCCGAGAGGCAGAGAACAGCAGCAGCGGCGCCGCGTGCGAGCCCCCCCCCCGCGCCACTGGAGAGCACCGCGTGAGGGGGGGGATCAGGAGAGGCCTGACCGACCCCTGATTCACCACCCACCAAACCACCCCAACCCAATCCGAAGGCCTCAATTTGCCCTCCACTTCCAGTTGGGGGGGGTCGGGGGACATTGAAAAAACACATGAAGCCCGCACCCCCACCAACCCGAAATTCGGGTCTTCGGGTTGGGTTGGGGTGGTCTGGTGGACAGTCGCTGATCAGCAAGCCGTCCCCCCCCCGGGACGCCTCCGAGGGCGCCGCGGCCTTCTCAGAGCGCTTTCTGGGACTCTCCGGGAGGAGGAGGAGGAAGAGGAGGAGGAGGAGGAGGAGGAGTAGGAGGAGGAGGAGGAGGAGGAGGAGGAGGAGGAGGAGGAGGAGGAGGAGGGGGAGGAGGAGGAGGAGGAGGAGGAGGGGGAGGACGAGCAGGAGGAGAAGGAGGAGCAGGAGGAGGAGGAGGAGGAGGAGGAGGGGGAGGAGGAGGAGGAGGAGGAGGGGGAGGAGGAGGAGGAGGAGGCGGAGGAGGAGGGCTCTCCGCCGCCCGGGCGCGGGGCGCGGCCCGCGGGCAGGGAGGCGGAGAGGCGTGAGGCTCTCTCGAGTCGGGAGGTCAAGCGCGGCGGGAGCTTCCCGTCGCGCGCCAGCCCGGCCTCGCCCCGAGGCGGATGTGCGCGGCCGGAAGGTCGGGGGCTGCAAAGAGGGGGGTGATAACTGGGGGGGGGGGGATATCATGGCGTGGGCCATGATATTTCTCCAGATTTCACGGCGCCTCTTCTTGTTCCCTGCCTAGGCTCTGCCTGGAAGGGTTCTTACTTTCTTAGCTTAAAGGGGCCCGGCCTCGCGCCGAGGCGGGTGTGCGCGGCCCGAAGGTCGGGGGCGGCAAAGATTACCAGCCTCGAGCGTTTCCCTATCCCCAAGATTGGCACGCCCAAAGGCGATGACAGTCTTAGGGATTCGCCTTCAAAAAGGAAGGGAATCCCTGAGATTGGCATCGTGGTGAGGAGGTGCCCAGCATAGGGATAGGGATATGTTTCAGGCTGGTAAAAAGAGGGGGGTGATGACTAGGGGTTGGGGGGATATCAGGGCGTGGGCCGTGATATTTCCCCAGATTTCACGGCGCCTCCTCTCGTTTCGTCACGTCCAGCTGGCCCCCCCCCCTTGGGCCGCGCACGTGCCGCCGGCCATGCTTTGCACCCCCCCCCCTTGGACACCCCCCTCTTGGCCGCCCCCGAGGAAGGGGGAGCCCCGAGAAGGCGAGGAGGACACGCCGCGGGAGGGGCCGCTGTCTTGCCAGGGGGGTCGGCGAGGCCGCGCGCCCGAGGAGGGGAGGCTCTCGGCACGGGTGCGCGCCGCCCTCGGCCCCCCCCCCCCTCGGCGGCCGCCCTCCTCAATCGCTGCTCACCCCTGCGGCAGCGGAGGGACAGAACAGCTGCACAAACATTCTCCTCCCTCCTCCTCCTCCTCCCTCCTCCTCCTCCTCCTCCTCCTCCCCTCCTCCTCCTCCTCCCTCCTCCTCCCCCTCCTCATCTTGCTCCCTTCGTCGCATGCGGCGGCCCCCGCCCCGGGGCAGGAGGCCGCGACCACGCCGCGAGCGAGCGCCCTGCGCCCGTGGCGGGCGGAGCTCCTGGGAAGCCGAGGCCGACCTCCAGGGCCCCGCTCGGCCTCCTCTTCTTGTTCCCCGCCCTCCTGTGTGGGGCTCTCGAGGCCCCGCCTTCCTCTGCCCTGTCTCCCTTCTTGAAGCTGTGCGTGGCCCGCCCAGCTTTTAGCGGAAGAGGTTCGCTCTCGCCCCGCAGATCACAAACATCCTGTGTGGGGCTCCCGTTTTGAGCAGGGCACCGTGGGCGCGCCTTCTCGGTCCTTCGCCTCCCCCCTCCTCCCCTCCCCTGCCCTCCTGTCCTGCCTCCTCTCTCCTGCCCTCTGTGGGCACTGTGGGCACTGTGGGCTCGCCCTCTCGGTCCTTCGCCTCCCCCCTCCTCCCCTCCCCTGCCTCCTGCCTCCTCTCTCTTCTGCCCTCTGCCGCTCCTCTGGGCTCCTGGGAGGTCCAGCGGAGTGTGGGGGGGGGGACAGACGTGCAGGCCGGAGCCGAGGCTTCGTGGCCCCCGGGGGGGCTGCGACGTGTGACACCCTCGCCGCCTTCGTGGGCTCCTGGGAGGTCCGCCTCTTCTTGGTTGCTTGCTCCGATGGCGGCCTCCACGAGCACACGCGGCCTTGCGAAGCCAGAGCTGACGTTCAAGACCACGCAGCCCTCCTCGTCGAGCTCCTCCTCAGGAGGACGAGGCGACATTCCGGACTCGACGGCTTGGTGGCCGAAGGGCCCGAGGCAGAGCCGTGGCTGGAGTGTAGTCGGGCCTGTCCCTCTACAGGAGGAATTCTCGGAACTAGTAAAACATACTCGGGGAACTATGTTTCTATTATTTTTGAGTGTTGTATTACATCTATATATATATATGCACATGCAGATCTTTGTTATGTCTATTAAATAATAGTAATAATGATAACGCTACTTGTGATAACACGAATGCGAATAATAATGATAATATGGTAAGTAATAATGAGGATAATAATGATGATTATAATACCAATAATAATAATAATCGTCATAATCAGGGTGAGGGGGCTCAACAGAACGGTCATTCACAGTCCCTGGGTGCGTGGCTGAAGTGGAATTCCACGATGCGGGTTATTATTGTTGTTGTTGTTGTTTTTGTTGTTTGCTGTTTGCTGTTTGTTGTTTGTTGTTTGTTGTTGTCATCGTCCCACCCGTGACCCTCCCCGCGACCCACCCGCGACCCACCCCGCGACCCACCCGCGACCCACCCGCGACCCACCCCGCGACCCACCCGCGACCCACCCGCGACCCACCCCGCGACCCACCCCGGCGACCCGCCCGCGACCCACCCCGAGATCCCCCCGGCGACCCACCCGCGACCTACCCGCGACCCACCCGCGACCTACCCCCGACCCACCCCGCGACCTACCCGCGACCCACCCGCGACCCACACGCGACCCTCCGCGACCCACCCGCGACCCACCCGCGACCCACCCCGCGACCCAACCGGCGCCTGCGGCGGGTTTCTTTTGCATTCGTTCCAGGCTTCTTTTGCATTCGTGAGGGCCACGAGGTCCGCCGGCTCGACACCCGCGTTGCCCGCGCCCGCCCCCCTACTGTTATGCGCAATTGCGGGGTGCTGCGTAATAACAGCAATAATAGTATTATTATTATGAGTAGTAGTAGTAGTAGTAGTAGTAGTAGTAGTAGTAGTAGTAGTAGTAGTAGTAGTAGTAGTAGTAGTAGTAGTAGTAGTAGTAGTAGTAGTAGTAGTAGTAGTAGTAGTAGTAGTAGTAGTAGTAGTAGTAGTAGTAGTAGTAGTATCAGCAGTAGTAGTAGCAGAAGAAATATTGAAGAAACAAACGCCCGAAATCCGCCTGTATAGGGGACACTCCCGACCTGAGGCTGGAGTCGCGGTGCCCGCGCTCGACCTGCCCACGCGGCACCGCCGCTGCCCTGGCCAGAGAGCCCTGGGCACGGGCTCGCCCAGTGGAGGGGGATAAAGGGCCCCAAGGGCTCGACACCTCTCAGGAGGGGGGGAAACACACACACACAGGCACAATACATTTACGACTCCCATGAAGAAATGTGGGAAGATGTGGGAAGTGTGTGGGGGGAAGACGACCAGCCCAGAACATGTGGGAACATGCGGGGGATCCTTGGATCTGTGCCTATGTATGTGTGTGTCCCTGGGCCCCTTTTGAACACATCTCAAGTCGACTTGCGGGGAGCAGGCCGACCAAATCTGGGCAGATCTGATTCGATGCACATCCAGACAGGTCGAGATAAACCCAGGGACATGCAGATGGGTCTGGGGAAGCCGTGGGAGCTCCCGCTCGAGTCGAGGGCTAGCAGAAGCCGTCGAGCCCTTCACGAAAGCGAGGAGGAGGAAGAGGAGGAGGAGGACGGATCAGCCCCAGGCCTTCGGCAGCTTACGACGAGAATCGATGATTTTATTCGTCCGCACCTGCTCCTCATCCTTCTCCTCCCTTCAGGTTGCGTGCCCACTGTTCGTGACTGTGTGTGTGAGGGGAGGTACTGTCAAGACGCAGAAATACCTGGGGCTCACGAGAACCTGCTTGTCTGGCGGCTCCTTAGATCTAGGCCGGGCAACCGATTCGAAGCCGAGGCTCGCCGTGGTCAGAAAAGCCCTTTCGTTCCTTCTTCAGCGCTCCTAATGGCAGCACGATGGCTGCACCGCACCTCTCGAGGACAGCTGCTCCTTCACAGCTCGGGGCGGACTCGGGGTGCCGACCGAAGGCAGTCGCAGCAGGATGTGTGACCGGGTGGCAGCGGACGCGGGCCCCTGCCCCCCACCGCCCCCCCCGAAGAGCGGTCGTCCAAGAGGGGGGGGGATGACCAGGAGGGAGTGGATAGCATCGCCGGGGCCACGACGTCTCTCCGCGGATGTCCTGGCCCCCCCTCCTGGTCTCCATGCGCGCTCCGTCCCTCCTTCGCCCGCGCAGTGTGCCTCGGGCCATGATCTGCGAACCCCCGGGTCCCCCTCGTGGACGCCCCCCTCTCGGGCGCCCCCGACCCCATCCCCCCCCCCCTCCCCTTCCCCGAAACGAGGTGAACGTCGGGGTGGAGCTGGACACCGACGTCCCGCCGCCGCCGCAGCCGGCGCGCCCCAGCTCCCCTTCGCCGGCCCCCCGTCGTCCTCGCCGTGGCCTCCTCATCCTCGCCGTGGCCTCCTCGTCCTCGTCCTCCTCGTCCTCGTCCTCGTCCTCGTCCTCGCCGTGGTTTCCTCCTCCCTCCCTCCTCCTCGTCGCCCTCGTCCCTCCCCCCTTCTTCCCCCTTGGTGCTCCAGTGCGACGAGGGGTGCATCGTCGCCATCAACGACTGCCTCGAGGACCCTCGCCGGATGGGCGCTCCCCGCCCCCTCTCCCCCTCCTCTCTTCTCCTCGCCTTCTGCCGTCCTGCCTGTCCTCCTCCTCGTCGCCCTCCTCCTCGCCCTTCTCTCCGTCCTTCTCCTCGTCGTCCTCCTCGACGTCCACCTCCACTTCGCGCTCCTTGGCGCTCTCGTGCTCGCCCCCCCCCAGCCCTCCGCTTCTAGGATCACGCCAGACTCTAAGCCGCTCGAGGCGCAAAGCCTTTATCTGGGGCACAAGAACTGACACGGCCGATGAGGTTCCCTTTTCGCATCATCCGCCGCAGCCGGACTTGACGCAGCAGAGCTTTCGGCCCGAGCCCCAGTTGCGGCGACGCCAGGGGGCGGGACGACGACGACGAGGAGGAGGAATTCGAGGACGAGGAGGAGGCAGCACTCCTTGCCGGCTCTTGGGATGTGCCCGCGGCCTCGGGGCACGTTGCACCAGACCGAGCAAACAAGCCCAGACCAGACTAAGCAGATCAACCTGATCATCGAAATTGCAATGCAACAAGAAGTGTTTTGCGGCGGATGGGCCGCAAGTAAACAGACTAGACAAACCAGAGTTGCCACCCAGACCACCCAGACCAAGCAGATTTGCCAGACCGGCCAGTCAGACCAGTCAGGTAGACCAACCAAACCAGCCAGGTAGACCAACCAGGCTAACCAGACCAGCTAGCCGTTCAGACCAGCGAAGCCTGGACCAGACGAAGCAGGTCAACCTGCCCGGACCAAGTAGAGAAGCCCAGACCAGACTAAGCAGATCAACATGGCCACACCTAGTAGACTAGTCAGACCAGCCAGAGAGACCAGCCAGACCATCCAGCAAGACCAGCCAGCCAGCTTTAGCAGCGCCACTGCAGCGCCCAAAAAGATGCAATGCGTGTGGTCGTCGCCGACGCGTGCGCTTCAACCCTCCCGGCACATCCCCAAACTACGTTTGGCTCGCACGCGGAATCTTGACCCCTCCAGCAGCGCAACTTCAACGCAAGAAAAGAGCTGCAACGCAGAAGCGAATGCAATGCAAACATAACATCATGCAAAGGAGAATATGTTCGTGTCGTGGTCGCCGGCGTGTGCGCTTCAACCCTCCCTGAACCTCCCCAAACAGCGCTTGTCTCTCATCAGCGCAAAACAACTCCAATAAAGCATGATCTGCAATGCAAAACAAATTCACTAACAACTGTTTTCGTGAGGTTGTCGCCGACGTGTGCGCTTCAACCCTCCCTGAACCTCCCCAAACAACGCTTGGCTTTCACGTGCAATCTTGAGCTCAAGCTTGAGCAGCGCCACAGCAACTGCAATTCACAAGCAACTGCAATGCAACATTCACGGCAATGCAAGCAACACGCGGTTTCGTGTGGTCGTCGCCGACATGTGTTCTTCAACCCTCCTTCCACCCACTGAAGCCACGCTTCAAACTCACGCGGAGTCCTAAGCTCTCTAATAGCGCCAGTACGTCGCAAAACAAAATCCGATGCAAAAGCAAATGCAGCGCATTAGAAGCGCGATGGAAACAAACATGTGTTCGTGTTGTGGTCGCCGAGACGTGCGCTTAAACCCTCCCTGAAGTTCCCCAAACAACGCTTGGCTCCCACGCGGGGTCCACAGCTCAAGCTTGAGAAGCCCCACTACAGCGCGACAAAGTAACTGCAATGGGAAAAAAAAACGCACTGCAAAGCAACTGCAATGCTCAACATACACTGTTTTCTTGTGCTGGTCCCCGGTATGCGCGCTTCAATCCTCCTTGAACCTGCCCAAACCACGCTCGGCTCTCACTCGGAATCCTCAGTGCAAGCCCGAACAGCGCCACGGCGGCGCAAAAGAACCCCAATGTCAACAACAAACTTCGGTGCAACAGATACAATGCAAACCACGGGTTTCGTGTGGTCGTCGCCGACATGTGCGCTTCAACCCTCCCTGAACCTCCCTGAACAACGCTTGCCTCTCACGGGGGTCCTAAACTCAAGCTCGAGCAGCGCCACTACAGCGAACTACAACGGCATTGCAAAAGCAGTTGCAATGCACAGGTAATGGAATGCAAGAAAGTCAGTGTTCGTGCTGGAGTCGCCGATATCTGGGCTCTAACCCTCCCTGAATCCCCCAAACAGCGCTTGGCTCTCACGCGAAATTCTAAGCTCAAGCTCGAGCAGCCGAGATGCTGCTTAAGTCGCAAGCTCTAAGCTCGGCTTTTGGAAGCTTGGCGCCCCTCCATGCGCTACAACGGCTGAGCACGTAATGTTCATGTGGTGGTCGCCCCCCCTGCACCTCCCCAAGCCACGCTTGGCTTTTGCGCGGGGTCCGAAGCCCACGCTTGAGCAGCGCCACTACCGCGCAAAAGCCTCCAGCGCACTAATTCAAAACTCAATTGCAATGCGAACAGCGGCAATGCAACCAACACCTGTGTTCGTGTGCGCTTCACATGTGCGCTTCAACCCTCCCTGAACCTCCCCAAGGCACGCTTAGCTCTCCCGCGGAATATTCAGTGCAAGTCCGAGCAGAGCAACTACAGCGCAACAATCTGCACTGTAAGCGTAACTGCTATGCAACTGCTTCCGTGTGGTGGTCGCCGGCATGTGCACTTGAACCCTCCCTGGACCTCGCCTCGCCAAACTACGTTCAGCTCTCACGCGGGATCCTGAGCTCAAGCTCGACAAGCGCCACTACAGCGCACACAAAGTTCTACGCACAGAAATTTACAATGCACGAACAAGAGCAATGCACAAGAAAATTGCAATGCAGAACCACTGTTTCCGTGTGGTGCTAGCTGACATGTGTTCTTCAACCCTCCCTGCACCTCCCTGAACCACGGTTGGCTCTCACACGCTCGAGCAACGCAACTGCAGCGAAACAACCGCAATGCTAAAACCATGCAGTGCGAAACATACTGCCATGAAAACAAAACCTGCAACGCAACACACATTGTTCTCGCGTGGTGGTCCGCGACATGTGCGCCTCAACCCTTCTTGAACCTCCCCAAACTACGCTTGGCCCTCACGCGGAATCCTCATTTCAAGCTCGGTCAACGCCGCTACAGCGAACAACATTGACACGCTAACAATTGCAATGCGAAACAAACTGCAATGCAAACAAAACCTGTAACGCAACACGCATTGTGTTCGCATGGTGATCCGTGCGCCCCAACCCTCCCTGAACCTCACCAAACCACGCATGGCTCTCACGCGGGATCCTAAGCTCAAGCTTGGGCAGCGCCACTTCAGCGCAAACAAGATGGCAACGCAAAAAGGAATTGTAATGCAACGCAGACTGAAATGCGACAACAGCACACGCTCAATAAGCGGTTTTCGGTTGGTGGTCGCCGACACTTGCGCTTCAACCCTCCCTGAATCTCCCCTAAACCACGCTTGGCTCTCGCGCGAAACCCTAAGCTCAAGCTCGAGCTTAGCTTAAGTCGCAAGATTCAGTTGAAGCTTAAGTCGGAAGCTTCAAACTTGTTTTGTTCAAGATTGTCGTCCCTCAGTGCGCTACAACGGCTAAGACTTGTATGCATACTAGTATCTTCTCTCCTCTGACCATGTCCGGACGATCCTGGGCCCCCCTCCGCGTGCTGGGTTTCACATTGGATTGGGCCGAGTTGATTTTCTTGTGGTTTCATTATTTGGCTGTTATCGGTGATTCAAGAATGGTGTTGCCGCTGCAGCGTGGGTCTCACTTTCGGATCGTCGCTGTGCTCTCGTCGTTCGGAATGGCGTTCTTGCCCCTGCGTGGGCCACTTTTCTGGACGCGAGTCCTTTTTCATCGTTGTTGCCCCCCCTCTTTTCCTTTCCTTCTCCTTCCCCTGTTCCTCCTGTTCCTCTCACTCCTTCCACTCCAGTTCGTGCTGCTGCTGTCTGTCCACGTCCTCCTTCCTCCCCCTCCTCCTCCTTCTTTTCCTCCTGCTCATCCTCCTCACCCGCCTCCTCCTCCTTCTCTTCCTCTTCCCTCGTATGTGCGCAGCTGCTCCTCTCGGATTGCGCATAACGCGATGGGTTCTTTTTGGGAGTTCCAGGTCGGCTACGACACGCGTCCACTGTTATAAAACACGATGTGCAGGACTGGGAGGGAGGGATATGATGTCAGACATGGCCCGAGCTCACATAGCCTGCCCCATCCCCCTCTCTCTCTTCCCTCGTCTCCCCTCCTCCTCCTCCTCCTCCTCCTCCTCCTCCTCCTCATCATCATCATCATCATCAACATCATCATCATCATCATCATCATCATCATTATTATCATTCCCAGCCTCCAACTCTGTCCTCCCCTCCTCCTCCCGCTCGCCCTCATCTCCTCCCCCCCGCGCCCTCCTCCTCCTACTCCTCCTCATCATCATCCTCCTCCTCCTCATCGTCATCATCAGTCAGTACATATCCTCATCCGTCTCCTCTTCGTCCCTCCCTCCCACCCCCTCGTCGCCCGCCTCCTTCCTCCTCTTTATCTTCCCTCCTCCTCCTCCTCTTCCTCCTCTTCCTCCTCCCCCTTGCCCCCTCCCCGTCCTCCTTCGTCTCCTCATCCTTCCCATCCCTTCTGAGATGAGGACGGCTGTAG